CCATTAAAAACCCACAATCAGTTCCACTATATATTGTGTTCCATTTTGAATATCAAGAGGAGTGTGAACAAAGGACTTTAGATTACTCACGATACTGTATGCCCTCTTGTTATGCCGGTTTGTGTAAAATCATGGTGTGGCATTTCTTCTCAATGAAGCAGTGTTGGAATAATAAATAAATAAATAAATAAATAAATAAATGAACGCCCAAATTAAGGTTTATTTTATCACTACAGGAAGGTATTCTAGTGTCTACAACAACCATAACCTAATTTGGTTTTACAAATTAATATATTTCGCTGAATGGTGATACATTTGTCAGCAATGTTCCCCCTTAGTGAGAAGGTTGCAGTTTCGAATACCAGCGCAGCATTAGCATGCTCTTTCTATGCAAATATGGGTTTTATGAGGGTACACTAGCTTCCTCCCACATACCCAAAACATGAAAGTTTAGGTTGATTGGGTACCCTAAATTGTCCCTTGGTAAGATTGAGTGTGTGAAAGGTTATTTGTTGCTATTGCCCCTTTTGCAATATCAATAATCAGCATAACTCAATCAAATCATCAATCAAAGATCCTTTATTAATCCCAGAGGGAAATTAGAATTTCAGTACACACAATTCAGAGATCAGACATACATGGGCAAGACACGTAACAAGAATTGGTGACTGTGGTCATTCACAACCCTGAGTCACGCTACCTTAATAGAGATAAGAGGGTTACATGAGGATTGGTTCAGGTGGAGGGAAAAAAAGGCACTTCAGAGTTACCCTCCACCGGGAGGGCAGCTTTGCTCTGCAAAAAAAAAAAAACACCTCAGACAGATATGCAACAGGAACATCAACAGTTCACAACATGAGACTCCAATAGGAAGGCCGGGGGCGGGGGGGGGGGGGGGGGGGTCATCTACTGTACAGTCACAGGTGGGAAGGAGATCTTGGGAGAAGCTAAGAGCACATTGACTCCTCCAGCTGATGACCTCGCCAGGCTGAAGTCCACCAATCCGAAGGCGGGGGTGGGTAGGTCGGGTTTTCACAGCTTCTTTCTGCATTCCTTCATGGGGTTTTTTGTTTCTTGCAGCTCAAGGCTACCAGGACGTCGGATTCAGATACCAATAATCTGTTAGGGTCAGGCTCAGATCATTTCCTCTCTGCCTTCAGTTTTTAAACTGATCATTTCCTGTCCCTTTTCCAACAACACGGGTCCATAATTCCCCCCACTTTTTCAGTACTTGCTTTGTTGTGGTTCTTGACGCACAGAGTCGCTCCAAAAACACAACGTCAGCAACTTTCGGCCACTGATTGGCTAAGGGGTGGAGTCACAGGTTGTTCCAGAGCATAGGGAGCCTAAGTCCAACCCATCTACTTCCAGACCATGGGTCCCCGGAAGAACAAAGCAATGAATGCAAGTCATTGGGGCTAAAAACGCTATTTTCTAATTCCACATGTAATGTTCCATGCATTTCACGTAATGTCTGTGAATTTTAGAAAAGCTTTTTCATACCAAGAACTTGCTTATTTTCGAACGGGGGGAAATGCTATATTAGGTTTTGTGTGAAAATAAATCCAGGAATACAAATGCACCTCACGAAAGTGACTTCATTAAATCAGACACGGAGAAAAACAGGGAAAATGGCGAACTTCAAATGGTTCCCACAGGAGGAAAAGAACCATCATAAATCTGGCCATTTGGTAAGTAGCAGCTGCGCTAGAAGAGAGGAGATTATGTGGTGATGTCATACATGCGACGTACCAATGTAGCCATGCTAGTAACTAACTTTTACAAGCTGATAAATCTCAATGTACGTGACTGGCCTGGTCGAAACACCCCTCGTTACTTTTCATTTAAATTGCAGTACAACATGTGCGATCCAGGGTGTAAGGCTACATGGATTAGAAAATAGCTCTTTTAGCCCCGTTGACTTGCATTCATGCTTTCATTCTTCCGGGGACCCATGAGCCGACTGGAAAGAAAGGAGACTTAGGCCCCCTATTCTGTCTGATACCTTGCTGCCTGCAGCCATTTCTGGCTTCAGGGTCTGACAAAAAACCAAAGACTGAGTGGAACATCACCGCACTTGTTCAACTGTGTTTTTGTTTGGCATACAGATCCCCTTGCACTACTTTTGTGTCAGGTAAATATTGCGAGTGCCCCTGACTGCACCCTCTCACGTAATGACAAGCACGCCAACTAGAGCTGTGTCTCAGTTTGACTTGGAAAAGCAGCCCAGACTAGCCTGAGCTTAGTCAAGTGTTGGATTATGTGTGTAATATGTGGCCATGGTCACTCTGATAATGATTTCTACCTGACCTTTGAATTCTGGTTAAAACAGGCTGGAATTGCCTTGATCATATTCCACAACCAGACTGTACACAGCAATGGGTTTCACATCTTCTTATAGGAGAATATATGTGACTCACACAGATCTTGACACATGCACTGATCCACAGCTACATATATTAGATGATGCCATCAGTCACTTAATCACTTTTTGGACATTCCTGAGAGTCCAGGCCTGTCATTGTGTTTTTATGTTTGTACTATTTTCTCAGCTTTTTATATATAAACCCAGATAAAATTGAATCACTGCCTCATCATTTTTATTGAAGTATTGCTGTGTTAAGGTTAGCTGATTCATGAATCAACTGAACAATGGTCAACAAGGAAAAGAGACATATATGGCCTGTGATGTCCTGGCAACCTGCCAAGGGTGCCCACTAACCAATGACTGCTTGAGATAGGCAACAGATCCTTACAAACCAACTGAGGAAGAAGTAGTTGTACAAAAATATTATCTTGTATTAGAGCATTTTTCATGTTGTTATTGGAGCATCAAATAACTAATTGCTGCTTAGAGGGATCTTATAGCCTTTACCTAGTGATGGGTGCAGCAACACCGACACACCGGCGCATGTGTCAAGCTCATGGAGCGAAACCTGTGTCGATGTGTGTGCTGCTTTAAGAAAAAGTCACGTGACTGACACTGCTGCTGTGTCGCTCATTGCCAAGGCGCCAAACTGTGTTTATAAGGTATCGACTCTGCATCTGTCAACGGGATGAGTCGCCGTGAAAAGAAGAAAATTACCATTTCAAAGATAAAACAAGACATCCCTCTCTCCATCAAGAAAATGGAGCCAGAGAGAAAAAGAAAAGTTTCTGTTGTGTGGGATCATTTTGATCTTTTAACTGCAAATAAGGTGCGTGTTTGTCTTTCCTTGTTTCTGCGCATCTGTCAGAGTTGAATACAGCAATGTGACTGACTCTTAGTGTAAATTATTTATTTAATTTTATTTAGGTTAAATGTCGCATCTGCTCAGCGGAGTTGTCTTATACAAACAAGAGCACTTCCTCAATGCTGAGACATTACAGTCGAGCATGAAAATGAAGAGGAAGCAAATACACCAAGAATGAACACAGGTAGACCTATATAGACACTGGGCGTGCTTTGTCACAGTTGTTTTACTAATATATGTTTTATTATTTTGAAATCTAGAATCTAGGAAGATTGCTCTGGACCAAGCAGTCCTGAATTTTATTATAAAGGACTGCCAACCCCTGAGCATTGTGGAGAGTGAGGGGTTCAGGGGGTTGATTCAGGTCCTTGATCCATCTTATGCTTTGCCAACCAGAAAGGTTTGTATACACAATGTCTCAGATAGCTGCTGCTACTCATGTAATATATACAGTGCTTAACAAATGTATTAGACCATCGTCTGATTTAAGGTTTATGACACAGCAAACAAAAATAAACACTTGTGATTCAAACATCATGCATGCTTGAATAATTTCCGTCCAGTGTGTCAGCTCACATTTGGGTATAAAACTGGATTCAGTTTTAAATTCCTACCTTCTATTCAACAGGGCAAAACACAGAGAACTTCATTGCTGGATGCTTTCTTGCTTTAATGACAGGTGGTCTAATAAATGTGTTAAGTACTAGACTGATTTGATTTTGATTCATTTTCAGACGGTTAAGGAAATGATGGCCAAAAAGCATGCAGAGGAACTCGAGCGAGTAAAAAGGGAAGTACAGCAAGCTGTGGCAGTGAGTATAACAGCTGACATGTGGACCTCCTTGAGCATAGAGGCTAACTTAGCTCTTACCTGTCACTACATCAATGATAATATGCAGTTGTGTACATCTGTGTTGCGAGTCAAACATTTTCCACAAAGTCACACTGCTGACAATCTGGCCCAAGTCAAAAGGGGCATGATGGATGACTGGGCCATAACAAATAAGGTAAGGTGTCTTGTGACCAACACAGCACCAAACATGATAGCAGCAACACGAACTCTTTAAATTCGACATTCAATCTGCATTGCACACAAACTAAATTTAATAGTCAGAAGATCCTGTGATCAGATCCCTGAACTTTCATCCATAAGACACAAATCTAGGCAGATTGTATCATTCTTCAGATCCAGCACCACAGCAAAAGAGAAGCTTGCTCAAGTGCAGCAACAGATGGGACGGCCCACCTTGAAACTTGTCACTGAGGTACCAACACGTTGGAACAGCACATATCCGATGCTGTCACAGCTACATGATGAGAAAGAACCAGTGTGGGTGTCTCTTGCCTCTCTCCAAACAGATTTAACTCCACTCACAGCTGATGAGTTTAACATCTTAAGGGAAGCACTTCTTGTGCTGGCCCCTTTCCATCAGGCCACAGTGGAGTTGTCTGAGGAGAGGAGAGTTTCAGGATCAAAGGTCATCCCGATGATGAAAATGCTAAATTGTGCACTTGAGCGGAACTCTACATCTACACACACAAGCAGCCACACATCTCCATGATCAACTTAGACGTTGCGTCACAGACACTGCTTCCAATCTGGAGTCATTAAGTGTGTTGACCCTATCAACACTTTTAGACCCCAGATTTAAAACACTTGGATTTCGTAGTTCCTCCAAGTGTAGTGAGGCTGTCAATCACCTGAGAATGGAGTGTGCTGCAATAATTGCTCACACAACATTTGAGCCACAGCCTGGACCTTCATCAGAGCAAGTTACCCACTTCAGGCAAGTTGTTCAGTATTATCAGCTTATTTTCACATTTGTTTTGTTGCTAATGTGTATTAATACAGAATAGATCACAAAAACTAAAACTTCTATGTATTTTTTATTATTTCAGATAATCTGTGGCAGCAGCTTGATCAAGAGGTTGGCAGACAAACCACCAATGCAACAGCTGACTCTATCCTTGAGGTCCAGCGCTACTTAGCAGAGGGAAACATTTCAAGACAAGAAAATCCATTAACATACTGGGGGAACCGGAAGACATCCTACCCAAACCTTTTCCACCTGGCTTTACAGTTTTTGTATACCCCAGCTTCTTCTGTGCCCTGTGAACGCGTGTTTTCAAAAGCTGGTGAAATGGTGTCCAAAAACGCAATAGACTCAATGCCAAAACATTGGATGAATATTTTTCTGAAAAAATAAATAAATAAATAAATAAATAACAACAACTTTTTAGTCAATGACACTGAAATGGGTAATATCGCATTCACAACACTGTCACTTTAATTGTCACTTGGTATCATTCACAGAATATTTTGAGGTGTATATATTTTAAATTTTGAAGTTTAAAGTAATACCATATGAAGTAGGCCTACAATAGCTTACAGTGTATACAAGTATGATTAGGTCATTGAATCAGTGTCTGTTGTGTCTCCAGTATGCTGACTGCAAATATATTTAAAGTCCAGTAGGTGTCAGTATAGAGCAAACAGCAGCACTGTGTCGACACAGTATCAATACTATTTGGGGAATGTGCTGAAACGCTTCATGAGGCTTCATCTACCCATCACTACCTTTACCTTTAACATGCTTGTGTATAATCTTCTTTCTAATCTGCTGAGACAACTCTTTCCTTTGCTTCCTCTCATCCATAAACACAGTGACTACCTGGAACCGTATATATTGGCCCACTGACTGATTACATGATTGTAGTCACCTGTGATGGTAATTAGTGAACACACCTTGAATTAACATGTCTCTTTGGACACATTATTTTTGGTCTTTCCTAGGGGTACCATCATTTTTGTCCCGGACTGTTCCATGAGTTTCATTTTTAACCAATTCCACTGAAGCATGGTTGAAAAGCAACATCTGACTGTCACTGGTTACATTTCATAGAATTTATATTTATTATTACTTTTGTCACATTCAAGTTATTTCTGTGACTATTGTGGGTTTTTCTTTCATTGGCCAAAGGGTACCATCATTTTTTTCGTTGTCTGTATACGTTACTTCCCCAGCAATAAACACTGATCTAAGATCAGTGAAGAGCGTCCATAAACACCAAACACTGTTTAAAACAGAATTTTAAACTAGACTGGTGATATTAAGAAATCTGTTTGCAGAATCAACAAGACAAGCTCTTTGATCTGTAGACAAAGTGTCTCCCTGAAGAGTAATTCTCAACATAAACTCGTGCATTCATTGTTCAACTATCTCTCACCTAATGTATCCTCTGTAATCTCCAACCTTCAAGTAAAAATGGACCAGGCTCTGAAGATGGATGCCCAGGTCAATAACACAGTTAAATCATGTTTTTTCCAACTAAGACGCATTTCGAAACTAAAGCACATCCTGAGTGTCCGTCTTCTGAAATCTGTGGTCCACACTTTCATCACCTCAAGGCTGGATTACTCTAACTCCTGCTTATACGGCATCAGTAAATCAGCTCTTTCTAGACTTCAGCTGGTCCAGAACTCAGCAGCTAGGTTGCTGACTGGAGCTGACAGAAGACAACACATTTCTCCAATTCTGAAATCTCTCCACTGGTTGCCCGTGCAGTTTAGGATAAATTTCAAAATTATGCTTCTGACTTACAAATCCTTGAACCATCAAGCTCCTCCATATCTGTGTTGTCCATTACTACAACCCGCCGCGTGCTCTCAGGTCTGAAGATAAGCTCCTCCTAGCTGTTCCGAATGCACGTTTAAAAAGCCGTGGAGAAAGGGCTTTCTCTGTCTGTGCACCGAAGCTGTGGAACGCATTACCGCTGCTAGTGAGGCAAGCAACAACAGCTAGCATTTTTAAATCACGCTTGAAAACTCACTACTTTAACCTAGCTTATACAACATAATTATGACCATCACTTACATCTGCATTGTTTAAAAATTGACTTCACAATATCAACTTCCGTACTATTGAGGTTCTTTTTTTAAAATGTTTTTCTAATTTTTTTTATTCTCCCTGTGTCTTATTGATTTTTAGCTGTTAGTTTTTGGGAATTTTGTTGTATTTCCTTTTTATCTTTTATCTGTGTTTGACATGTTTGTATATCGCCTGTTTAATTAACTAACATTTTTAGTGTACAGCGCCTTGTTTGGTTGTAATGCCTTGTGAATGCGCTTTATAAATAAAATTGGATTGGATTGGATTGTTGATAACTTTAATGTCCATATGGTCTGTGGTTAAAAAAAACAATGCTGTAAAACAGCCAAACAAAAAAGCAAAATAGCTCAAGAACCTGATAGTGGCTCGGTTTCAGAATGTAGATAATCATAAATGACTCAGATCAGTATCTGAAGGAGACCGAACAGCAGGAGGTGCCTAATAATTACAACCAAACCCATTACGAAAAGGAATATTTAAAATTACAACGGCAAAATGAGAAACATGTGGAAAGTCAACAACGACCCCACTGATAAAATGCCTTATTTGTTTCTAACTGTAAATTCTATTAATTACAGTCCAGAAACAAATGATGCAGTTTACTGTTCAGAGGTTTTTTTTTCAGTGAAAGAAATCCTGCAAATCAAGATAAATGAAAGAAAAAACAAACAAACAAACAAAAAAACACTTGTCATAAGCCATATCTGTGTTGTAGCACTAGTAATTTGGCCCGTTTCCCTACTAAAAGTCTCACTGTGTAAGAAATGTAATGTTTTTGGTGAATTTGTTTTGATCATTTGAATTTAAAACAAATTACTGTGTGATTATAACTTTAACAATAGATAGGTGAGACACTGAGACTCAATATTGTTGTGTCCTCCATAAAAATTTCTACTTCCAATATTTTCAGAGGCATCACCTATCATGTCAGCTACATTACTCATCTCATCTATTTTGGAATGAACCTTGTTAGGCTACAGAGCAGAAACATCAGCCTAAAATAAAAAAAATAATTTACATCAGGTTGAGTTCCTGTCAGTGCCGTAAACATAGTGTGTAAGCTGAATCAGAGAAATTGTTCATTGATAGAAGAGCTGTAAGTGCATAGGTGAAGCCTTCAGAAGCCCAGTCAGCGTCTCACTGGAGGTAGCAGCCAGCATATTCCGACGAATGTCAGAGAGCGTCTTAACGAGGAGTAGAAACAAGGTAACTTTTTCAACAGAGACAGGATCAGATTTGGCCAGACCTCAAAAGTTTACCTCCGGTGTAAACAACACTCTGACATTGAGTGGAAAGACGTCCAGGGGAGATACACTGCCAGGCTGGGTGATTAGATGCTGTGCAGGTAAGAGGGCCTGCCTAGAAGAAGACATGCCCTGCACACAAACACACTAAAACAAAAGAGAAACTAAAAAAAAGGCGAGGAAACAGAGTCACAGACAACACTCTGAGGGGTTTAACCACTAATAAAGAGAGGTCGAAAAGCAAAACCTGCTGGAACACAAGGTGCATTGGTGCTCGGTTGGGGAAGAAAGAAAGTCGTGTCGGGAACAAAGCTGAAATATCAAAAACCAAGTCAAGACACTGGATGAATCAAACACTGTGTTAACTGTTCAGTCAGCATTTTCAGTTTAATTTTGACACGTTTGTCTTGTACACATTTTTCCCACAACATGATTATTATGTTGTTATATTTTGATAGAAGGTGACAGACATTGCTAATGAATTACACAAAAAGTGGGATGTAGATATAGACAGTACAAGCATCAGTGATGCAGAATCACTGTAAAAAATCAAAAAAGCACTAAAAACTCACCTTTTTATGCAAGCATTCAAATCACATTAACCTGTTCTCTTTGCATTTGTTTGTCGTGTCTGTCTCTTAGTTGTACACCATATTTGAGTTGTTGAGAAAAGTGCTTTATAAAACCTATGTATTATTATTATTATTATTATTATGAATAAACAACATCCTCATTCTAACATAAAACTACCTTCCATAATATGTCAGAAGCATGCTGCGTTAATTCCTGTTTTTACTAAGACTTGGGTTCAAACGAGTGTGTTTGAATCTCTGACAAAAAACATATTAGATCAAAAGTCTCTGCCTTCTGTTGTTCGAAAGTGATCAAACATTCCATTTTGACATGTTGCCATGTTGTATTTTTGGAGTGAGAATCTGTGCTTTGAAAATGTGGAGCTAAAAGTCCTGCCAGCTCAACTGCATACAGTCTCGTGCTCAGAAAAATCCACATTTTCAAAAATATTTACATTTGTTTTTATGCACATAAATAGAAGTTAACATCAAATCTTTTAGGTGTATTTTATATTTTTGGTAGGGACAACATTCCATTAGTTTACAAGGAGTGAGTGGACGTTGGACTGCAGCCAGCCTCTAGAGGGCATTTCAAACCTCTGCTCATTTCTATAACACTTATTCCTCAGTACGGTTGAGGGAAGCTGGTGCCTTCTCCAGCAATCAAAGGGTGAGAAGCAAGAGTCACCCACGACAAGTTGCTTGTCTATTGTGGCGCCACAGAGGCAAACAAGGCATGCTTTTAGACACATAATAAAGTAGAAGAAGAAACAATCTTTTATATAAGACCTCTCACGATAAAATTCAAGAAGCGCTTCACAAATGCAAAAAATTTAAATACAAAAAAACTGACATCTAAGGACCGATTAACCTAAAGCTCAGATCACACTGTGTGTTTTGGCCGTCTTAAGCAAATCTCTTGTCTTTAACAGAATTGTGACAAAAAACGGGGAACTGCAAGTCTGTGGCCATCCAGTGTCACTGGCTCCGCGACAGCTTGTTGAGCACCCTCACGACCAAAGTCAGCCTCCAACAGTCTTCAACCTACACTGCAGTCTGCAATCGACCAATGAAGATACACCCAAGGGGTGACGCGAATGACTTGGGATTGGAGTACAATACAAGAGTAGAATTAACAACAATTTAAGCTACATGCAGGAACAAGTGGTCTCCTCCCCTCTGGAGTTCGGTTTGGTGTTTAAGTGTTAACAGCAGTGTTTTTTTCGCTTTTCAGCTTTTTTGTTTTGGTTAGCTATCATATATTAATGACGTATGCTTTTCGGGGGGTGCTCGTGATGTTAGCTTGTCCTGCTAGAGTGAGACATTGTGCAGTTTGGTTCAATGCCAAAAAATGGCACAGTGTGGCCCACACTTTAAAATGCATGGGCAGAGCATGCAAATTTTGCGCAGAAAGGTTTCAGTCAGTAACATACAACCTTCTTGATGCTTCTACAGCGCTACCAAGTGCATCATCATGGAGTTCTGGCTTCAACTTCCACGGTCCATCCTTCTGTCTAGTTCTTAGGACAATGCACTTAGCACAGTGGTAAACACAGGGTTTGCTAAAAGGCTATACACGTACTAGTCATGTTGTATAAAAATATCTTGACAGCAGGAGTCATGTTGCGGCAGACAAATCCGAGGTTCTGGTGACACCCCGGCGAAGACAAAATCAATGTGACTTGAAGCCTAAATGTCTGTTCATGCAACAATAGAAAAATCAGCTAAATAATACAGAAAATAGCCGATGGCATAAAAGAGTATTGCTCATAATTGCATACCTTTGTTAAAGATTAAAAAAGGACTGCTTGAGTGTTGACCATCGTTTGTTCATCGTTTTTTTTTTTTTTTTTTTTTTACAAAAGATTTACAATGGGAAATTCTCCAAGGATTTAAAGACATCTATGAAATTAAATTAAGTGGAAACAGCCCACGTGTTAGTGGGAATTATTATTATTATTAATTTTTTTTGTAGATTACAGTTTTGGAGCCTAACTTGAATCAATAATATGATTCCTTCATTTTGTGTATTTTTACACACACACACACACACACACACACACAAATACACACACACACACACACACACACACACACACACACACACAAGGAGAGAAAGAAAACGATCTTTTATATAGCGCCTCTCAAGATAAAAATCACAAGTTGCTTTCCAAGAACAAAAAAACAATATAACAAAGATTTCTTTTTTAATTGTTTAAACTACGGTTAAGATGAAGGGACAAAAGGAAATAAAAAAAATGGGATTCAAAGTGTAAGGAAAGGGAACGAGATAATGGAGAGGAAAGAGGGACATCACCAGAGTCTGTGGGCCACAGCAGCAACTGATCTGTCACCTTTGGTCTTTAGCCTGGTGCACTGCACAACCAGTAGGCTTTGATCACTGGACCTCAGGGACCTGCTGGGGGTGTAGGGACTGAGCAGATCACCAATGTATGATGGTACTTGTCCCTGTAAGGCCCTAAAAACCAGAAGCAGGATCTTGAAAGGAACCCTGAAGTTAACCGGCAGCCAGTGATCCAACTGCAAATATGTCATCTTTTTCTATTTTACTTACTCCAGAAGTAAACTTGAAGCCTTTTCTGAAAAGAAACATTCTAGCCTCTAGAAAGTACTCATCAGCAGTAATTTGACTTTTACTATACAAAAGCTCTAAATGTGAGTTTGGGGAAGCCACGCATCTGAAGTTCAGAGGAAAGAAACCAGGTCACAGAGTAAAGTTCTGACCACTGGAGCCCAAAATTAAAGCACATCGTGGAACAGTGTGTGAGCAGCTTATTTCATGGGCTGGTAGCAGACAGTTTTAGGACTTCCTTCCTACTGGAGTGTGTGTGTGCATGTGTGTGGGTGAAATTGCGTGAAATAGAATGGGCGTGTATGGCATCAAGTTGTTTTAACGGCCTTTTCCTCACATTTCCATCTGTCACACTCGGCTTGGTTGCAGTGAGAAAAAAAAAAACGGTATCACTCAATAGTAGTTGCAAGGGATACGGTTGTTATCAGGCTCACAGCTGTCCAACACAAGCCTCTAAGTGGAGACTGACCATGGCCGTGTAAAACTGATTTGCTCAGTGAACTGTTCGTTTTGCTCTTCAAGGTTGTGGTAAATATATAGGTTAGCTCATTTGTCATTCGTTTCCTAACTTTATTTGCCTTTCAGCAACTGAAAGGAGACCAGAGTTGACTGATCATGCAATGTCTCTATTTTTATTTTTCTTCCACCTACAGTATATTAGCCAGTTTAGTGTTGTGGGGTAATTTTATAGCCATAGTCTCAGTTTCACTTCGTTCTGCTGGAAGAATTATTTTGTGCAGAACCATCAGAGAGGACTGTAATGTATTCCACTTATAAAAAAAACCTTTTTATTTCAACGTCACTCAAATTTTCATTGTCTTTCATGTGCAGAACTCATTTTCTGCTTTTTACTTTTACGTTACAGTTCTACGTTCTGTTTGACTCTTACTTTTGTTCTTAAGACAGAATATTTTATCACTGCCCTCTCTCTTAATGGGGCACGCCCCTTTCTGACTCGTGTTCTAGTG